GCTGCAGTATGCGTTTTTTTTTATTTCACCCTTTTTTTTTTTTTTTTTTTTTTAACTAAAGCAAGGACAAAAGTCAGGCTTTAATTCATTCCACTATTAACAATGGGCAAACAACCACTGACATTTATCACAGAGAATAAAACATACCCAGACATAAGCATTTTCATGAGTCTAACAATATCCTGGCCATTAATTGTCATTATTGCAGGGTTCCCATGAATCTGTCCCAGAGCCTAAAGATGTGCCTATTCTGGTGCAGCTCAGACTGTTGGATCAAAGAGACTCCACTGCTAAGGTGAAATGCTTAACAAAGTCATACAAGACTTTTATGTTGCTCTGTTCCTAACTTATTTTTCTCTTCAGCTTAGCTGTGCAGTTGCAGTCACATCTGAAATCTCTGGAGAGGCCACAGTAAGTCTGACATTATCCTGGTTAAATAGCAGCTGTAGTCACATGCTTATCACCATGTCCAGTGCCATCCAACCATAACTAACACTCCCAGGGGCAAGTTGTTTCATGCCACTCCTCTTTCCAAAATCCATGTCCATCCTTCTCTGCTAGTGCTCTGTGTGGGTAATTTCTGGCCCTGCCTCCAGCAGTGATATTACAGTGATCGATCCAGCACGGTCTAACACGGTACTGGATCAGTTCAGCCTCCCACCCACAGCTCCTGCACTCTGCATCTGTGCTGTGCCTCCCATAGGTCAGTGCCAGTACAATAGGCAGCCACAGCTACCTAGACACAGCTTTTCTAAATTTACTCTGTACTTGTATTACCCCCTTATATGGACATTTTACTGGAAACAGTGAAAGGCTGACCTTTCACTGCTTAGTTGGCTTTTCCTGTGATACAGTCTTTCTGGTCATGTTTTTATCAGGTGACACCCCAGGAACTGTGTGGATTGGAACTCAGGAAGGAAGGTAGTGCCTGCTGAATAATCAACTTGTTTCAACAAATAACACTTGTCTGTGAGTATAATACTTGTTGGCAGCCCATTCTTACCCACTGTCTCGTTCTCACAGTATACTGGTACACTCAGCCTCTGCTGGCAGGAGGCGTTGTCTGCAGTCTGTTTCCCTATCGGAGGGTGTTCATTCGCTCACGTGAGTTGTTGAAAAAAAATTGTTCCAGAGTTATCTTCAAGTCTTGACAGAAATCTTTTAAAGAAATAAGGAAGTCAGTCCTGACTCAATCTCACAGGTATTCCCAGGGTCAAGTCATCGCTGGTTTAGCTGATGGAACATTAGTCTTTTTCATGCACAATCCAGGTAATGGGTTTTCTGTTTGCTTGTTATAGAACTATGGCTTCTGAAAGTACTTTTTTAAATTTGAGATTTCACTTCTTGATTTTTACTAAGTTTGCAAAAATGTCAAAACAGATGTTTTTACTTTTGTCATTTAAAATTAAGCCTACAAGTGCCCACAATGTGCAAAAAATGGAATACTTCCTGAAGTAATGGTATATCTGACTGTATCAGCTAATCTAGCCCCTTATTTTGCATGTGTCACTTGAAGGTGATGCTTGGTGACTGAGAAATAAGGAGTACTGTTGTTGATAGGTGGCTGGAATCTGCAGTCATACTCAGGGATGCCGCTTGGATCAAACCCTTTGCAGCCTATTCGCTGCTGCCTTGCAAAAGGTGGCCGCTTGTGGGTAGGATACTGGAACAAAGTCCATGTGGTTGACATTAACAGTAAGAAGGTTGAGGTAAGAAACAGAAGAGGTACCCACAGTGTATTATTTTCTCTCATGTTCACACTGTCTTTACACTCACCATCACTGTCTCTCATTTTATTTTACAGCAAATATTCTCAGTCTCTGAACACAGCGAGCAGCAGGTTCGTTTCCTTTGTGCTGGTGGAAGTGGTGTATGGACATCCTGTCGACTTGACCCAGTCCTCAAACTGTTTGACTGGTCCACTGGACGGCCGCTACAGGAAGTTGATTTTACTGCATTGGTTACTAAAACATTAGGTGCTGAAGATGTTTTTTTTTTTTCTTATTAAAATCAATTTTAAATGAAAGTGAACTTTCTTGTACACTTTGCCTTTGTGTTTACTTTGGAATCTACAGTACCTTCAGGTCAGATAATGTTTACAGTTTAGACTCAGAATGCTGCTGACCTGGGTACTTTGAAATCTGTTCATACCACCTTACTGTTTCCATGTTCTCGGTTTTATAATTGAGGAAAAATTTCAACTTGTGTATGATTTTTATTTTACATAGAAAACAGTTATACATTTTTGCAGCCTTCGTGGCTTTAACACCTCCTCTGTGGGTGTGTGGCAGCAGTTCATAATCTGAAACGATCTTTAAAAGTAGCAATTGTTATTGGAATCTGGGATAAAAAGTCAGTGGACTGGACTTACTGACCATGTTGATGTCCAATCTGAATTGAAAATAAATAATTAATTTTGACTTAGTTTATTGCCAGATACGTAACTGTCCTGCAGCTCAGCTAACACATTTCTCTACCCTTCTTTAGGCCAGCCCTTCCTGACACTCTCACCTCTGCAGATCTCCTCTCTCACAGTCATCTCAAGCCGTCTGTGGGTGGGCACCGGAGGTGGCGCCATTTTCTCCATCCCATTATCCATAAGTGAGTTTTATTTAGACTAAGAGTGTTGGTATTTGAATTTTATGTGATCCGAAATGTGCTCTATGAAGTATTCACTGTATGTCCACAGCATCAGAAGCTGTTTCCATCCCGTACTGTTTGACTGCATCAGCCCAGCTGTGCTACCACGGACACAGACAAGCTGTCAGATTTATCATTGCTGCACCTGGTAAGAATTACAAAGCTGTTACTGGGATATGCAAAAATATTTTCAGAAAGTTTTTTTTAGGAGATCTTTCAAACTAGACTTAACTGCTGTATTTGTCCTTTAGTGCCTGTTTGTTTGATCATCTGTGCCCTACAGGTTGTTTGATGACCTCTTCTGGCAGCCGCGCTGTTACTACATCTCAGCTTATCCTCAGTGGAGGAGAGGGCTACATTAACTTCCGGATTGGTGAGTTGATGGACTGGAAAGCGCCGTTACATCTGTCGGACACATTGGATGGGTTTTGTATGTTGAATTGAATTACTGTTTTAGCCATTGCTTACTTTATCAAATGACCGACTGAGCAATCAACTTTTCCAGGAGACGATGCAAATGATGGATCAGTTGAGTTATCCCAAGGTACACCTCAGCGGTCTGAACGTAGTCACATGATCATCTGGCAGAATCCTACCCCCTCTGTACCCAGTCCTGCCCTCTGATATTGTTCATCTCTGAATGGGATAAAGATGAAGCAGGCATCGACTGTACACCGGCAAAGCTTAACAACAATGGCAATGGTGCTATCCTGGAACTAAATGAACTGTTATCTCAGTGTGGCAGCAATAAAAGTATCCTTTAAAAATGATGACGCATACGGGTTCACTCATGTTTACCTCATTCAGGTTGTACATCTGGGTAATTTTGACTGGATAGTCCTCATGGATGGACTGTGAGCCTCAATCTGAATGTATGTGCTGTATACTGGGTCAGAAATTCAGCTGCCTTGTTGTTAATAGACAATTTTTATCTGTGCACTAACAATGCATTCAGTTTAACTGACCTTCTACTCGCTGATACATGTATCTGCTACTCTTGAACATGGAAAGTTGTTAACATCTTTATTCCTCACCAGGCCTTTTCTGTCCTGCAATTTTGACCATAAAGTTAAACTAATGTGGCTGCTCTTAAAGCTGCTGTGTACAGACTGTTATGTTATATGTGAACTGAAGCGGGTATTAGGTATTATCTCACAAAACAATTACACATCTCTTGTCTCCTTATGCTGCAGTGAGATTGGTGATACCTTCTTTCATGACATGTATTTACATAGCCATTTCTAACTTGAGAATTAACTCAAATTCTACTGTTCTACATTGCGTTGTTGTAATTACCAATAACTGAACATTATAAATATGTCTATATAAAAATACATCTGCTATCCCATCTTCCTAAATGAACAATTCTAGAGACTGTGTATGGAATCTTTTTCCTCCCATCAGTTCTTTGCTTGATGACTTTCTTTGGATGTCTTCATTTATTTAGTTTTAATTGGATTTCACTACTTTTTGTAAAATAAGGGAGGGAAATTTTTCAAGTGCTCTAGGCAGTATTTATTTGCTGTTACTGGTTTGTACACTCATTAATGTCAGTAGCTTCTTATCTAATTTGGAAATACAATTAATACTTAAGTATTGGTGTTCACATTGTGCAGACATGACTGTCATTAAAATGTCTTTCTTCAATGGTTAAGTCTCATTTTGAGTGGTACAGCGATAATCTGGTGCAGCAGCACAAACAGCAAAGTCCTAAGATGACTGAATGGCTCCTGAGGACACGGACAAATTAATATTTCAGAATGGTATTTTTAATTTTAAGTGCAATATATAATAGTGCCAGTTACAGGTGACGTCCACATAAAGTTTACTAAGTAGCGATTATACAGATTCACCTGCTTTTCTTTATGAAAACATGGAATGACAATATTTTGCTGTGCGAATTACATGCTAACTTAACAAGATAACAGCTTTGACACTACTTCGCCTCAGGCAGTTTGGCCTGCCGCCTTCTTAAGGACAGCCCTTCATATAACAGCATTTAAAGTTGGTTGAACTCCGGTATCTTTGGACTCCGCTTCTTATGTTGGGCTGCTGTGAGTCCTAGGAATCAGCATCCTACGGCTCAGGTTGCGGGCAAGGTTATCCACAGCGTTACCGACAAACCCAAGTTCCCTTTTGGAGGTCAGACCCTCGATGTTGCCACTGTACCACATTACCCAGCCTGACATGGACAGTAACACCAGCAGGGCTCCTGTGTACACAAGCACATCCCCAAAATCTCGCCCCTTGATCTCCAATGGAACAAAGATCCCCAGCAGCAGACATGTGGCTCCCAGCAGGTCCATTAACACAGCAAACACCAGGGCCAGCTTACAGTGGGGAACGCTGACATTCTTGGGTGCCATGACTCAATTGTAAAAGAGAGAGGGGAGATGTCAGGTGGAAATGTTGCCTGGTCTTTAGTGGGCTGTAGTTCATCTTATGAAATATCTATCTTCTGACTGTGATCTATCAGCTAAAACACATAAAACTGTTTGAATTTACAACTTGAAAACACATTCACAATTTGCAGTACTGGTTTCTGGTATCAAAACATGCCACACCTGTCTCGTCTGCCGCCCACATTTAGCAACTTTAAATGTAGAACACGTACAAAAAGTAAAGCAGCAATCTATATTGTTTTGAACATATTGATAGAAAAAACTCAAAGCACTTACCGTTGTGTTACCCGTTTGAGGAATATTTATAATCCAAGCATTTTTACAATGGAAATCGTCCGTTTTGTACCTTTCCGGGAAGCCACCAGTTAACAGTGAAAGACCTGCTCTACCTGTCCTGATGTTTACCTGTTGACCTATTGTGTCATAGCTGAAACAAGAAACTGTTGCACAATAATGTTTCCCATATGTACATTTTGTCACGACAACCTACTTATATAGACTATCAAATCAAATGGCCCCTTAACATATGCTTACTGCACGCAAAATGTATTTTATCTACATTATTTTTTACGATTTGAAAAATGTCATACCACTTTAAATACCTTACTGTCATAAAGGAAAAATAAACTTCATAGACAAAGCCTCTGTAGTAGATTAGCCTACTTATTTTTCTATCAGCGTTGTCTATTAATGAACGGTCATTAATTATATTATACCCGGAAATGGCGTCAGTGTTAAAAAAATAAAAGCGGTAATTGTTATTGTTAGCTTGTTAGCTAGCAGACGAGCTCGTGAAATGGAGATATGACAGAGTAATAACGTCTTATTACATGTGCACGATTAAGTTATTACAAACGTAAAGTGGTATGTACCAATTTCTGCAGAATATATTTATAGTATAGTGAGTCTAGTAATGTCTGAAAGACAGAATTAAACAATGAGTGTATAGAAAGAAGGGCATTACAATTTTATATTCGCAGCTACATTTTTGCTAACATTACACGAAGCTAACATACTACCGAGCATATGTGGCTTACTTGTGAGCACATAACAGGCCGCTTCTAGTAACACGTCCATTTGAGCTGTTTTAGTTTATACAGCATGACTGAGACGACTATAATAATATTTGATTTGGTTTGCTGGCTTATCGGTGAATTATGCATATCTTTTCTTTTATAAAATACATGTGAACATAAACACTGTATTCATGTAATGAAGCCTCTGCGTTATATTATTGTAAAATGCCCCTACTAGTTCTTACACACAGCCTGATAAAATTTCTCTAAAATCGTAAACTAATCAAACATTTGTCTTTGGTATGAGATGGAGGACGGAAACAGGACTGACGCTGCCTCCACATCTAAGAGCCACGCAGGTTCACTCCACTTGCAAAGTAAGATTTTTAAAACTGCAAACAAGCACGATTGTTTTGACTTTAAATCAGGGATAGTAATTCATTACTGCACATTTTCTTTATTCAGCTCCAAAAAATGAGGATGCCTATGAAATTGCTATACCCTATGAAGAAAGCAGCTTCGAGCAGCAAGGATTTTTCAGCCAGAGTGATCAGAATTTTGATGGTGAATGTCAGAATTTGTATTTTCAAATAAATTTTTATCTGAACAATAATTTAATCCTTGGCATAAAATGTCTTAATAATGGAACTCCTGTGATTTCCCAAACTAGAGTCGCCCCCATCCACTGGTCCATCTCCAGTCAACAACTCGTATATGGTGATCACCAACCTGCGAACTCAACTACAGATCTCTCTGGAGAAAAACTCTTGGCTGCAGAAAAGAATTGAGGATCTGGAAGAGGAGAGGGACTTCCTCCGCTGCCAACTAGACCGCTTCATCTCTTCCACAAAGAGCCAGGCACAGGATCAGAGTCAGAGCCAGTACAGTAACGGTGAGGACAGGGGACAAATCTATGATGATAATCTTTGCAACAAGAAGTATAAGCGCAGTAGAAACAGAATTTTGCTATCCTAGTCCCTCGAGATAGAAAACAAATATATACCCATTGGTATTTGACTCTCTGTAGGTTATGAATCTAGGCGATTCAACTGGAGAGCAAGAAGAGAGGAGGATCGTCCAACTGGTAAAGACATAATAATTGCACACTTACTGTTAAATTAAGCTTCCTTGTCATAATTATTTGTAGCTGTGCCTCCGTGTAGCCTGTTCATTATTTATTAAGTCTATCTCATCATAGATTGCAAATTTTTATTTATTATGGCTGCATTCTTCTTACAGAGCAACAGAAGACAGACTCGCAGCATTTTCCTTCACGTCAGTTTATCCAGAGAAGGCCCTGTCCTCCAACCATGGTCCCTTCCAAAAACCATGTCTCCAGTCCATTAACCAATCCGCTTGCCTCTATGAATGCTTTGTTCAGCTCTACACAATCCCAGGCCCTCCTGCAAGGCCATAGTCATAGCACTCCCAGTTCCACAGCCAGTAGCAGCAACAACAACAGCACTGCAAGGTCATCCATAAATGAAATGAGTGGACATAGCAACGTAGGTCCAGGTAATATAAATTCATTGGCATAAAAGTTTGCATTACCTTAATTGACCAAATGAATACATTTTTGATACTTTTTTTCTAACAGGATTTGCTGAGAAAATGTTTTATTGTCTCATCAGAGTCCCTCTCACTCCTGGGAGAATCTGATGAATACTTAGAGCAGGACGGCTACTTGGAGGAGGAAGAAATGATATCAGGGGAAGATGTAATGCCAGATACTATTAACAGCAACAGACACCAGTTAAAGCGAAGGCGAGTCTTCCGGGCTCCAAGAGAGCGACAGAGAGGTAAGGGAAGGAGAAAGATTCTGCAGCAGAATTCAGCATTTCAGTATCATATTGCCATAATTTGTTATGAAACTCATAGAAAATTCTCTTCTTTCCTATTCAGTGAAAGATGCTGCTGGAGTCCTATTTCGCTATAAGAAGATCCTACTTACATACCAGCGTCTGAAAAATATGTCCAAAGCCTTCCAAATCCATGGTGTGGACCGCAACACAGTGGCTTCCACCACACCTATTGCAGAGCTGCTACTAGTGGCCCCAGAGAAGGTCGCAGAGGTGGGAGAGTTTGACCCATCTAAAGAGAAGCTGCTGGACTATGCCCGGCGCTGCTACACTGCTCTGGATGAGGAGACCCTTAGTAGGGTACAGGCCCTGAAGAAAAACAACCTGCTGTTGCCCATCTCCTACAGGTTCAGACACTGAGGGGATTAAAACTGAGGCCAGCTCACTTCTGAGGAATAGAGATGTCCACAGGCATAAGGAATTATTTTGCTCTCTACGCTTCCTGGATATGGCTATTTAAACCACAGCTGAGGTTTTTGCTTTCCAGAAAAATAAAGTTTTCACATCTCACTTTTATTATGAATTCAGTAGAGATGCATCTGTTTCTTTGACTAATCTTCACCACCATTCCAGTAATGCTGAGGACGTGGAAGTGCCTGCTGCAGCCAGAAGGGGGAAAAACATGGTTCTTGTTTCTCAAAGAGCAAAATAGCCTGTCTGTGTGATCCAGAAGGGGACTGCCTTTCCTCAGTCAATTGAGTGTAACCAGATAGGTTCATTCAGGTTTCAGCCTCAAGATTTGCAGAGAGAGACAGATCTTTTCTTTCCTGAACACCTGGGTCTGCTTAAGTCCAAGAGTTCAATAATTGATGGTCTTGATCATTTCAGTTTATGGCACCCTAAATGATTTATAAACATAGCAATCATGATCACTTTATTCATGTGCAATTTTGACACAATCCTAAAATATGGTAGCTTTCAATCATGACTGTATATGTTAAAACAATGCTGCACTCCAGAGGTTTTGTTGAATATGTCATACTTTTAAGAAATCATCACCATATCCTTACATTTGTGTTGTTGTTTATGGCATTGTCATTATATTGTCCTAACATTTTGTGAATTAGAATCTGGGAGTCATTGTGCTCTCTTTTCGTTTTCCATTTCTCTGGGTTTAATGGGTGGGAGAACTCAAAAGGGGTAAGAAGTGGATGTGATCAAGAACTGACTATAGTAAAAGTAGTAAAAGAAGTATCACACATCTGGCAACAAGATGTGTTTGAGATGTATGTGTTTTCCTCCAAATAATGTCACCAGTTGTTCTTGGGTCCAGTTTAGATACAATATTACTGCTATTTCTCTGTTGTTCCACTAAGGGTTGCACCAACCCTTTTTTGTGAATTATGTACACAAAATGCCACTTCTTATGCTTCTGATTTTGAGGCTCTTGTAATGCTTTTGTGTCAGTAATACCTTTTGTAAAATATGGTACAGAACACTTACACTAATTATTACTGTTCTGGCTATTTGTAACATTGTGTAACCTTTGGTGTCCTTGTGAAAAATCGTGGACATGAATCACACAAACTATTTTAGAGTGTGAGCTATAGCATAAGCTATAAGCAGCTAATACTATATATTATTGTTTCCCAATGTTTCACTACAAACATGCATGTGAAAGGATCACAAAAAACAGCAGACATGATTATGTATTGTAATCTGTGATATTTATACTGATATAGTGAAATGATACGATCTCTTATATTGCCAGAGCTTAGGTTACAGTGGAACAGTGACTCTTGGCTTCAATTTTAATATCTTAATAAATGTATTTTCCTAAAAGTAAACACAGTTAAGTAAAGCTGATTCTGATTCTGAGTTAGGTATTCCAATCTGCGGACCTCATACAATTTTCAATGACTGATTGTAGGTTATGGCTAAAAAGCAGTGTATGGTGCAGCGCAACTGCTAAACACACTTTGCAAGATTCTACTAGGGTGCAGTGTTTCAGAAAAACAGTCATCTGTTTTTCTTATTGTTATGTGTCATATTTATGTATATTGATTGAAAAATATATCTCAGAAACAATGCCTATCATTCACCAAATGTATAGTAAGAATCAAATGTCTTAAGGCATTTTATGTCTTACAAAAATGTAAATGTATTAATCTGTAAAATCAAACATTACTACTCACTGAAATTTAGGAAAATTAAAATGTATAATTATTATTAGTAGTAGTTGAATTCTTACAAATAATGTTGATTTCTATTCTCTCCTTCATCATACCCCAATGAATTCTGCCAAGATTTGTTCAAGTTATGGCCAAAGTGTAAGGGTGTAAATAATTTATATTATTGTAACTGACTGAGTTTGAAAATGTTTCAGCTTGTCTATGGTGAACTGTGGAGTAACCGGAGCTCCAGTGCAGGAGCATATCCCACAGACTATAAAATGATGTAGTTCCACTCCACACATATAGACCTACCTGTACATAAAAATACATATAAAGGATTTTTTTCTTTTTAAAGCATCAGAAACTGACAAATGCATCATGTAGTAAACAGTCCTTCAGCTAAAAATGTGGCTTAGCTTTAAACTCTTTTTTGTCATTTCCATTCCCTCTACCTCTATCACTGAAGGAAAAAAGGGAATTTGGCCTTTATGCCGTCAACAGTGTTCTAACCTTTTTTGTCCTGGGACCCTCTAGTAGGTCAATTCAGGCATGACTTAGCCTTGACATGTCATGCCTGAATTGAAACTTAATTGGTTACCTACAAAACAGATCTTTGATCATTCTCGAGACAACCGAACTTTAGCAGATAATACTGACTCTTAATTTGCGAAAAGAATAAAAACATGCTAGCAGATAAAGCTTTCTTCTGTGTGACTTTTTACAGCTCTATATATACAAACAGTCAACGGCACAATGCATAAAAAATAACAGTAAATGTAACAATGTAAAAACTATACAGTATAGGGGAGCCAAGAGTCTATTCAATTCATTAAAGTTCGATTTTTCACATAGTCCAATTTTCAATCAAACGTTATTCGATCAAAAATTGTTCTGCACATTTTAAAAGGTGCTATTGCTTCAGTTCAACAATGAAAGCAGGGTTTTCTGCTGTACGGCTACAGCTGCTTTGAAGCTTCGTTTTCACCGGAAGGGTCTCAATGCATCAACTTCCGGTGTTGCGGGTACCTGGGAGACGAGGCAAAAAAGCGGGCACATCGGAATCTTACTTGATTTCGTGAGCTTTGAAACATCTGGAATTGTATCCATTTGGCTTATGAAGACAAACGACTGTGCCTTGTGGGCCAGTGACTACCTGGGATTTGCATTTGGCTTGGAAAAGAGTCATTCATTCGGTGTTCGTAAACGCTAGCTAGCTAACGCGCTTCCACACTAGGGTTTGGAGCAGCAGGCCTATTCTTCTGGACTTTGCTACAAGCTAATCAGCTAACATTAGCAGGCTAACCCACACGGACACGTTTTTTTCCTCAACGATTATGTCTGTTACGTTGTAAATAAATACCACGTCATTTACGTGTGTGCTGGTTAGTTTTTGTAAATCTTTTGTCAAATAGGCTTAAGTTGAAGCTAAATTATTCGAGCTCCACCAGCGAGGCATTTGTTTTGAAAAGTGTTGTTCACTTTGTTGCTAGCTTAAGCTAGCCACCGCCAACTGAACAACGCAGTCGCTGAAAGCGCAGTAGCCTTCAACTCACAGAGATGTCGGACTTTGATGAATTCGAAAGGCAGCTTTCTGAAAACAAACAAGGTAAATGCACAGCTGCACATCAGCAGTTGAAAACATTAGTGGTATTGTTTGATTGGAGTCGCCGCCATTATTTTAGCCAGCCATGGATATGTCTATTTACTGGAGCACTAAGCTAAATTGTTAGCCCCACAGCCTTGACCCATGATGCGATGCCATGTAGTTGTGCTGTTGCTAGTCAGACAAGTCTGTCGTAGTGATTCTGGCTAATGTTAAATAACGTTACGTTTCTGTTGTATCCGAATGTCGGTAACAATATGAAGGCAATTCGCAATGTTTCTTCAAGGTAGGGCATGTCTGTAGTATGATAGTGGCCAGTGCCAGCTGACAAATAGTCGAGGCAGCTAGTATTCTTTCTTTGCAGCAGTTGCATCCAGTGCCGATTACGTATCATTGTCCCTAACTTTGACACCCAGCGGGAAACGTCAATCAGCCATATAAGCTAGCTGCTACCCTTAACCCACTTTAAGATCATTTGAATGTAGATTCACATGTATTCGTTAAACACTTCACATTGGTAACGGACGTTAAAGCTACAGTATGCAACTTAAGGTAGCACTAGCATGAAATTCCAAATTCGTCCGCTCCGCCAAACGCTCCCTCCCCTTGCTCCACTATAAAATGCTACCTTCCGCCATGCTCTGCCCAGCTCTTCGGTTAATTGTCTTTATAAAATTAAAAGAAATGCGAATGCGAAAAAACCTACTGATCAAGCCTAAATTATTGAAAATCACTGACTGGTCAGAGAGGCCAATCCTGCCCAAAGCCATTTATATTATAAGATAATATTGCTGCACTGCTGCCAGTGCTGTTCAATGAGTCTGGGTCACAGGAGGCTTCAACATAATTTCTACACAAGTCTTTGGAAAAGATTGTAGTTTTAAGCTATGAGCTGGCCAAACTACACATTTGTATAGCCAAAATGGATATACTGCACTCAGTAGTAACTAGTCAGCATATGACTATGGTCTAAGCTATGGTGTTTCTTTTGTTTTTTTTTTTAATAACATTGCTGCCATATACCACTTGTAAGGTATGGTAATTTATAGCTCTTTGTCAGTCTATGTTTATATATTTTTTGTAATGTCAGTTAACACTATCCCTACAGCTGAAAGGGACAAAGAGAACCGCCATCACCGTCGATCCTCTTCTCGCAGCCATAGCAGAGAGAGGAAAAGGAGGAGCAGAGACAGGGATAGACGCAGCAGGGACTGCCGTGGGGACAGTAAGGAGCGCAGACAGAGACGCAGGTGGGTACCTATATACAACTACACCTAGACCAACAAGCTAGGAAGATGCCTGAGTCACATCATGATGTCTTTTTCAAGTGGTCTTGCAGTTCATTTTATTACCACTGAGTAAAACAGAATTATTTCAGTCAAGCATAAGACATTGCCAAGAATGGTTTTGACCAGGTGGCGGTTCAAGGAGGGGTTTTGACCATATTCATTTTTGAAAACCTGTTCAGTCCATTAAAGATGCCATTTTTTGGTTCAAAGGTTGTTCTAGATGTTAGTAGTTAATTTGGCATATGCACAGATTTTGTCCGAGTTTGGCTTTATTTTGCCACACTAACATGCCTTCTCTACACCCTGGATTTGGTCTTGGCATCTAACCATTTACTTACTGTACTGTAGGTGGCCACAAATTCCAACCCCATGTAAATGTATGCAGATAATGACAGTGAAAATCTTTTACCATTGATTTAAAAAACTCTATCACTCTCATTCCAAGCCTACTCCCATCATCCATTCATTCTGGGCACCTGAGCAAATTAACAGATCTTGAGAGCTGTCTGCAATAAATAAAAATTATGTCTGTAAAGTGTAGCCATTGATGACTGATATATTTAGACTAATTTCAGATGTGCTAGTTGGGCTCTGTGAATTAAGCCACTGAAAATTGGCAACTTTTTTTATGAGGTATTATTTAGTGATGCACCAAAATGAAAAAATATATATACATACATACATATTACTTGAATTTGATGAATCTGAAATGAAAAACTAAAATCTAAAATATTTTTAACAATAATACCAAATAATATTTTTCAAGTTTTATGTAACATTCAAAAGTTTTATGTAACACTCAAACATTTTAAATAGCTGTGCAAAACGTTGCAAAAATGCGGCTCAATATGTTGTATGAGCCTACGAAATCCAATGTCCTCCACGACAGAAAACAGCTGGTCGTCTAAGGCAATGAATTCCATTACTTTCTCAGTAATGCCACATGCTTTGGGACTATCATCTGCAAATTTCTTAGTCTTTTCAAAGAATGTGGCGACCGAGGGTATTTGTGATGTAGTTGGGGCACTTTTAACCAATGTTGTTTTGCGGTACTCCTCATATTCAATTGGATATCGTGTTTTCAGGTGGTGTATCAAACCTGTTGTCGAAAAGTTGGCACCGTACCTCCTCTTGATATTTTTGCAGAACAGATGTTGCATATTGCAACTTTGGTGTCCCCACCTGAAACTTCAAAATGCTTCCATACCGCTGACATGCTTTGTCGTTGATGGGAAGACGCGTGATATAACAGCTCCAGCGTGAGTGAAACCTAACCTGTGCTGCGCGAGGATGGGCAGGGCGGGGCATTTTCGGCATGTTTTTTTTTTTTTATTCGGCCCGAAATAAAAATGGCCTTTGCGGCCAAAAATTTTCAGTGGCCGAAAGTTCAGCACACCCCTAGTTTTATTCCCTTTTGAACATTATTTCACCAACAGATCAACTTTCATATACTCTCATTTTTATGGATGGTTATAACTTTCATTTCTCTTTCCTTAAGCCCTCTGTCATATGTGCTAATGGCACTGTAATAAATTTGCCTCAAACATATGGGACAAAATTTTGATTACATAAAGCAACTGGTAGTGTAGGCTCTTTACATGCTTGATTGATTTGATTTATTCTTTCTTTCTGCTTGATAATTGAACAGTGAATATCAAGACAGTTGTGAGTTAAAAAAAAAAAATCAGTGCCACCCTAGAATCAAAAATTGCACTGACTGATATTAATAGAACTCCTTTGTCATTTGAGATTCCTTGCATATTCACTCCGGTGTTATATAACATCAGATGTCTTTGACACATCATTCAGGACGTGTGTATGATTGTCTAATGATGAGCATGAGCTACACTGATGGAATCTTTTTAGGCCAGTCCAGGAGTCCCACGAGCCAACCAGGCCCTGCCAAGGCTTTGGGAAATTTTCATTTAGGTGTGTTTAAAATCATCACTGTGAACCATCAGAAAAAAAGACTGAACCTGACAAAAAAAATCAGAATTGAGCATTTAGGCCTGTAATGAGAACGTGCCCTTTGTCTTAGTGCTAATTTAACACAGATTGTTGAGGATCACTTGGTGTGAGCACTTTGTCAAAAGATGTCAGATCTGACCTATCCTTTTTGCAGGTACTGTGTTTTGAAGATATAATTTCAGCTTTTATTTAATCACTAGTTGTTCACAAATAGTGCTGAATGCCCCCTGTAAGGCACCCTGAATATGCTAGTTTGACAGAGCTTGAAAGGATTTTGCTCTTTAAGAAATGCACAAATTACCATGTTTCTTTCTTGATAGATGTTTGTATTTGGTGAGGGTCACAGAAATTAAGGTTTTAATTTTATGAAGTGGAAATCTTATTGAATGTCAAGATTGATTTAAGAGAGATGTGAAACCTGTCCAATGTCATTTCAGCTCACCACCCACCTACCCCCAGGACAATGCTCGAAGGTGATACAGCAACCTAACACAAAGCTGGTTTTTGCATTCTTCCAACAATTGGAGTTTAATGATTTGCTTCTGATTCTGTGTACTAATTTACTGTGTACATGTCTGGCTGGATGGTGATTCTGTCTCTTCTACTCTCTTAACCATCCGCTTTACAATGTTTTAATTGATTCATTGCCCTCAAATGTTGCTAAAATTTATAGCACTTTTGAAGATGACCGCTTATCACGTTTACTGCCAAGATAATAAGAAATGCTTCATGCTACATGTTACATCATTGTCCTTTCATTTCACCAATTTTTTCTTGCTCCATCAGCCGTTCTCCACATCGTGAGAAGAAGAAGAAGATAAAGAAGTACTGGGATGTTCCTCCGCCAGGATTTGAGCACATCACTCCCATGCAGTACAAAGCCATGCAAGGTAACTATCTCATTTGTCTTTGATATGCTTCCTGGTTTCAGTGTTGAAATTTTCTTTTGCTGTTGCCCACATCTTGAACTACAGCAGTAGTTTAATATTTCCTGTCTTTGGCTTTGCTCTCCAGCTGCAGGCCAGATCCCAGCCACAGCCCTTCTGCCGACCATGACTCCGGATGGCCTGGCTGTTACTCCCACCCCTGTACCAGTAGTGGGTAGTCAGATGACCAGACAGGCCCGTCGGCTTTATGTGGGCAACATCCCCTTTGGTATCACTGAGGTGAGGAACAAGACTGCATTTGGCTTTTTAGTTCAAGGTTATAAACATGTTGGATTACCTGATGTCTCTTTCATCTTTGTGGCTTAAATAATTTCACCATTAATTCAGATTACTTTTCTTCCTCTCTTTTGTGCAGGAGTCCATGATGGACTTCTTTAATGCCCAAATGCGTTTGGGTGGTCTCACTCAGGCCCCTGGAAACCCTGTCCTTGCAGTACAGATCAACCAGGACAAGAATTTTGCCTTCCTTGAGGTGGGATAAAACCTTCATAAACATTATTAGTTCCTCTGGGTTCGTCTATGAAGCTTTGTTTGAAAAACAATTTTACATTTAAATCATCTGTTACTGTGTAGTTCCGCTCGGTGGATGAAACAACCCAGGCCATGGCTTTTGATGGCATCATCTTTCAAGGCCAGAGCCTCAAGATTCGTCGTCCCCATGATTACCAGCCTCTGCCGGGCATGAGCGAAAACCCTAGTGTTTATGTGCCCGGTACACAGACAATTAATGGTTTTTAACTATTATGTGGTATAATACATAAACAATCAATAATTAATTCTATACAGGAACTTACTGTGTGCATGTCTGTTTATATTTCTCCCTGTTATTTTTGTGTATCATAGGTGTGGTGTCCACAGTGGTGCCAGACTCGGCTCACAAACTCTTCATTGGCGGCTTGCCCAACTACCTGAATGATGATCAGGTCAGGTTTTTTGTCTCCAAACTGGTACAGCTGATTTCCCAACACACTACTGCACAACACAATTTGTATGGTTTTGCTTTTTGTTGTTTGTATGATGGAAATGTCCTGAGTAGAGTTGGTGGAAATGACTAAACACTGGGTCACTCTTTGGTCTCCTGTGTTTCAGGTAAAGGAGCTGTTAACATCATTTGGCCCCCTGAAGGCCTTCAACCTGGTGAAGGACAGCGCCACAGGCTTGTCTAAAGGATATGCTTTCTGTGAATATGTTGATGTCAACCTTAATGACCAGGTAATCGGTGCAACAGAAAATTACAGGACATATGATATTTAATTTCCACCTTTTTGGATGAAATACTGAGTTCAATTTTTTTCATGGGTATATGGAATTTTATGAAAGTTTGTTTAAAAACTTTGATGTTATTGCAGGCTATTGCTGGGCTGAATGGTATGCAGCTGGGAGACAAGAAGCTCCTGGTACAGAGAGCCAGTGTGGGATCGAAGAACGCCACTCTGGTGAGTGTCCAGCGCTGGACAGATGACAGCAGGGTGGTGGGAGGCTGGATGCTTTTTTTTTAGAGTTGCTAAAATGGAAACAAATTGCTGTTCTTCAAACACACTTAATAAATGTGTAGTTATTGACTGCTACATAAATAGTTTGTGCCAGTGTTGTGCATAGTTCCATGATATGAGCAGTTTGCAGTGGACTGCATTAAAATTCATGCTTTAACCCCACCAGTCTGACATTTAAACTTGTAGCTTTACACTTTATGTATGCAACTACAGTAGTATCACTGTTTTTGTATTATCTTTATTGCAAACAAATGTAGTAAATCGCTTTCCCCTTAGTTTAACAGTAACAAGAAAAATGTAATTGGTCATGATAAATAACATGTATTACAGAACGCTACTTAAAATGTCTTTTTGTAAAAGTAGATGGACTGCATGTCCTAGCACTTTCAGTTGTCCTCTCCACTGCGTAAACTA